GCACAGACTGCATCTAATATATTGGGTCGCCAGACACATGAAAAGAGAGAAGTAATTTGACTGGGGGTGGGGATTTGCACAGCTGTCCACTCTCTTTCACTATTAAGAGTCTGACTCCCACACTGTGCACGCCTTTAACCCCAGCACTAGAGAGGCAGTGGCAGGTGGGTCTCTGAGTTCAAGGCCAGTCTAGTCTACAGAACTAGTTCCAGGACAGCCAGAGCTACACAGAGAAACCCTGACTTGAAAAACAAAACAAAACAAACATCAAAAGAGTCTGACTCTCTGCCCTGTAGTGACACTTCTATATAAAGAAGGAAGTACCAAGACTTGTGGAGAGGCCCGTGGATGCTCACAGGGAACAGTTGAGCATGAACTTGCAGTTATCTGGGGCTGGGAGCTCCATGGACTGAGTTTGAAGAAGGCTGAAAAGGAATGCAATCAGAGGTAACAGGGAGTTCAAAGGAGGGAAGAGGAAGGTCAGAATGGGCCACCTCCTCTGAGTCCTGATGATCTTGAGGAATGTCTCTTGAGGAACGTCACAGTCTGTCAAGAGTCCCTTGTACTCTCAACGCTCAGTTAAGTTCCAGCTTTATCGCTGGCACATAAGCCCCCTTATCTGCAGGGGTTTCCTCTAAGATCCCGTATTGATCCCTGAGATGGCAGACAGTACCTAGCTCTATTGGCACACTATACATAAGCATGTATAGCCACAATAAACTTTAATTACTATATTAGGCACAGGCAACTAACAACGATGACTGTAAAATGAAACAATTACAATACGCTGTAATAAAAGTCACAAGAGCCCGGCCTGGTGGCACACACTCAGGAAGCAGAGGCAGGCAGATCTCTGTGAGTTTGAGGACAGCCTAGCCTGGTCTACAAAGTGAGTTCCAGGACAGCCAGAACTGTCACAAAGAAACCCTGTCTCAAAAAAAAAAAAAGTCACCAGAGTATTCCAGGTCCGGAGATCCCTGGTCGATTAGTTACTGTTCTTATTGCTATGATTAAATGTCTGACTAAAGCAATGTAACGTTACATGAATGTTCTCTATCTCCCCCTTCTTGTGAGGTTGTAGGATGTCTCTATCTTTATGAAGAAATGGAATAAAGGGAGAGACAGAGGCACTGTACAAAGAGGAACCATTAGGCCACAATAAAGCTGATCTAAAACAACGTAAGGGAGAAAGGATTCTTGTTTTGTTTTGTATTTGCTCATATTTCAAGGTGATGGTGTACCATGAGAGAGGAGTCCCAGCGTCAGGAGCTTGAGGTGTCTGGTCATGTGGCATCCACAGCCAGGAAACAGAGAGCAGTGGATGCTGGTTGGTGCTCAGCTTGCTTTCTCTCGTACGCAGTTCAGGACCCCAGCCTGGAGACTGCTCCTTCCTGTGTGTACTTCTTTTCATTTCAGTTACTCCAATCAGCATGATTCCTCACGGGCACACCCAGAGGCTGTGCCCTAAGCTTTACCTCCTAGCAAATCTAGGTTCTGTTGAGTCATCAAACAATATTAACCATTACAGGGAGTAAGGTTTGTCAGTAGTCTGGGAGTCACTTAGCGGCGGGTGGCAGCTGAGCTTGTAGGCGATGGAACGAGAAAGGATATAAGATTGATCAGACATTTTTTAAATTATTTTATTTTATTCTCATTGGTGGTTTTCATCTGTGTGAGGTTACATCAGTGTGAGGATGTCAGATCCCCCGGAACTGGAGTTAAGGACAGTTGTGAGATGTCGTGTGGGTGCTGGGAATTGAACCTGGGTCCTCTGGAAGAGCAGACAGTGCTCTCAACCACTGAGCCACCTCTCCAGCCCCTAGACGTGTTTTATGTAGAGTTATTATGATACTATGTTGTGTGCTGTAAAGTTCATGAGAAGTAGAAACGAGCCATTATGGCACTGGCAGGGCTATAAACAGAAAGTGTGCTGTATTCTGCATACTGCCTGTGCGAGGTCCCGTGTCCCCAGCAGGGGACATGCACGTCCCCTTGTCTGTTGAGAACTGACAGGGTAGTCTCAGAGTTCCCCCTCATCTCCTATGCAAACAAGAACCATGTTAGGTGCATAGCTGGTGCTCAGCAAATATTTGTGAAAGGAACAAATAAACATGTCACCCAGGAATGTTCTAGAAGAGAGGCAATGTCACAATGTGGCCAGTGGCCTGGACTTTGGAATAGGCCAGATTGCAGCTTGAGTTCCATGCCAGTCTTTTCCACCGGCCTAGTGAGGCAGGTCCCTTAATTAGCTTCTTCCTGCCTCAGTGTCCCCCTCCCCCTTCATAAAGGACACAAGGCTCCTCACCAGCTTGCTTGAAGGCAGTAAACAGCAGTGTGGCTATCGTGACTGGCTTTGGAAATGTGCCCCCTGCTCACAGGGCGCTAACAGGGGCAGCAGAGCTCCGTCTGTTTAACTCATGCTCTAAGAGCGCGGACTCTTCCAGGAGGGCAGAGAATAAATGTGAGTTTTGACAGCCACGGTAGCTGGGACATTAGCTTGGAGGCTCCCTGTGTGACTTCCCATTGTATACAGAAGCCACAGTGAGGAGTTGTTACTCTCCCAAAACCACAAAGGGGAGATCAAGGCAGGACAGGACCCAGGGTGTCGTCTTTGACCCCACTTGCATGTGGGATTCTTGGTGATGGATTTTCATTCCCAAACTGAGTGTACATTCCCAAACTGTTGCGTGCTCAGGTGGTCCCTCCTCCTCCTCACCCTGCTCTTTTTAACTTCTGTCCCTGCTTCATTATAAAGCAATACTTCTAAAATTCAGAAAATATAGAAAAATGAAATTCTACAACAGCACATGTCCACTAAATATAATGATAATCTGCATTGACATGTCACTGCATGTTCTGGTCTTATAGTATATGTAAAGAGCATGTGTGTGGTTTGAGTACATATGCGTTCGTGTGCACATGTGGAGGCTGGAGGTCTCCTACAATCACTTTCTTCTTAGTTTTTGAGATAGATTCTCTTAATGAAACTGGGGCTCGCCGATTCAGCGAGGCTGGCTGGCCAGTGTGTGCCCTAGGACTCTGCCTGTCTCTGCCTTTCTACTGCTGGGATCACAGCCACACACTGCTGCATCTACCTCTGCCAGCATTTTATTTTATTTTATTTTATTCATTTACTTATTTATTTTGATTTTTTTTTCGAGACAGGGTTTCTCTGTGTAGCAGCCCTAGCTGTCCTGCAACTAGCTCAATAGACCAGACTAGCCTTGAACTCACAGAGATTTGCCTGCCTCTGCCTTCTGAATGTTGAGATTAAAGGTGTGTACCACCACTACCTGGCTCTACCTGAATTTTTTAAAACCATAATAACATCTATTATATACGAAATATATAAATTAGTTTAAAATTTTAAATTGCATTTATTTATTGATTGATTGATTGATTGATTGATTTTGTGTGTGTGTGTGTGCGTGTGTGTGTGTGTGTGTGTGTGTGTTTGGAGGACAGCTTGGGGGAGTTGGCTCTTTCCTTCCACCATGTATTTCCCAGGGATTAAACTCAGATCCTCAGGATTGGTGGCAAACCCCTTTACACACTGAGCCATCTTGCCCACCCAAATTAGCTTACCTTTTTATTTGATATGATACAGATGTTTGCCTTATTCTTACAACTTAGATAGCCCATGGGAGCTGTGTCTGCACACTTTGGTATCCCTTTTCCCCAGAGTCTGGAAAGTCTTGCCTCTGATCTTGAGCCCAGCAGAGTCTAGTGTCTCTACCGTGTATGAGATTAAGAGGGGATGATGTTTTTCACTCAGAAGACCAGGGAGCCAGGTCACACTGACCTCCCCACGGGACCAGCCAGCCATTGGACTTCGGCTTTCATTTCACGACTTTGAAATGGGATTAACCACCTGCCTCCCAGGGTAGCTACCTGGCAAGTGAGCTGCCAGCTTAGTCCAGATCTTGCTTTACTGGATTCACCAGAACCTTTAGAAGCCGGTTCCAGGAAATCCAGTCCAACAAACTTAAACCATAAAGAGACTTTATTAGTTCACAGAATTATCAAGTCCAGATCCTGTGACCCAAGAGGGGCACAGAACCTGAAGGATATGACCACAGGCCTCGGGGATTGTTGTCCTACCTGCCTACAGTTCTGATCACATCTTCCTGGGGAACAATCTCTGCAGTATTTTCCAGACCTTCACACTGAGCATAGCTTCCCTACTGCTGGCAGCCCCAAGAGAAAACACACTGACCTGATTGCTCCAGCAGAGGACCAAGTGGCTGCTGGCCCACACCCTCCTGCCTCAGTGGACATGCACTCACCTACACCTCCTATGCTGTGAGGAGTTGAGGGTTGCCCCAAGAAGAGTCAGGGATGCTTTCATCAAAAGAGAGGCCAGCTTGGGGAGGGGTAAATAACACTTATGTCCTTCATACAACACTGATCCCACTGTGGCTAGAGAAAGTTCTCAGAGCAGGAAGCCCAGCAACCCCTGCGGGCTTGATAGTCACAATCCATCACTATGTGGCCAGAACCTTCCCCATCACCCTCTTCTCCTGTCGGCCATGCACTAATGCGGTGGACATTTTCTTTCAAATCCATATGCAGAGAACCACACCCTCAGGCACTCAGTCTGGTGACCATGACCTGGGAGGAGGCTGGCCTTCAGTGACATCATCAGGTGACTCAGCTCACCTTCACGGATATGGTCCAAGGTGTATTACAGTCTCAGGCCCAATTGAAGGGTCCATGAGTGGGCGGGAGAGCCAGTGGTGGGGAAGGACAGGATCTGGAACAGGGAGAGGTTGACCGTGACAGCTCTGGGGTGGGGGCTGGAAACCCCTATCCAGTGTCAACACCCAGGGCCCTATCTGTGTTTCAGCAGGGAACAAAGATGTGCAGTAAGTATGTCTCCCATAAGCCCTGGTACTAGAGCGGCCAAAAGGGGCAGGTGCCCGTTGGAGCCACCCAGTTGTGTGTCCTACAGTGGCACCCTGCTTTCTGCTCTTGTATTTGCACTTGGTCGTTGTCCCGAAGGCTTACAAGCCTCCTGGCAGGAAGTCAATCCAAGCAGAGCAGTGAAAGTGTATCAATGGCAAGGCAGGGCTCTGCTCCCCTTTAGAGGTGAGAAAATCGGGGCTCGGTGCTCTGGAGACAGTGGTAAGGGTACTGAGGTAGGGGGAGCGAGGGGGACAAGAAGTCTGAGGCCCTTCCAGGAATGGAGGCCACCACAGATCTAGACAAATAAAAGGAAGAGACTGGACACTAAGAGGAAAGACTGAGGAAGAAAGACTTAAGGAGAGAGGGCCCCATACCTAGATCTGGAGCCAGGGTACAGGACACCTGCTGCAGAGAGGTCAGCGGTTGGTCTAGGTGTTTGCGGAAAATCCAGGAAGTGGGCAGGCATCCTCAGGCCTGCTCATGAGGGCTTCCAGGGGTTGACTCTGCTATGGATGAGGTACAAAAACCCAGGACAGGAGGGGAAGGCAGGGATACTGAGAGGGCTGTGTCAACAGGGAAGCCTGTTGTCAAGGAGTGCTCTCTCTCTCTCTCTCTCTCTCTCTCTCTCTCTCTCTCTCTCTGTCTCTGTCTCTCTCTCCCTCTTTTTCTCTCTCATCCTCCCCCCTGTATGCATCTGTCTATCTGTCTGTTTGTCTGTGTATATACTGCAGGCAAGACAGGCTCCCTACAAGAGGAATGGTATTTGAGGCTGGTGCGGAGACCCCCCCCCCCCAGGCTCTCCACATGAACCTGGAGGGAGATTATGCTGGCTGTGGAGAGGACCTGGGCTTGGAACCACAGCCACCACGGGTCTGGAAGGAGACGATGTCAGCAGTGGAAAGAACCTGGGCCCAGACAGGGCAGAACCTCCTAACAAAACAAGGTGGGTACATCAAGGGAGGGACCAAGAAAAAGGAAGTCACAGCTGAACACACAAGAAAGCCACATCTCTGGTGATGGTGACCTATGAGTCCAGCCACATGAGGACACACAGGATAGAGGCAAGAAGGTAACTCCACATTGGATGGTGCAGGGGAGTAACCCAATCATGTAGGTCCTGGGGGGCAGAGTTCTTCAGAACTGGATCAAGGCAGCCGCACCCATAACAATGCTAGTCAGCTTCAAGATGGATCTGTGTGACCTTGTAAGGAGCTGCAGAGCTTTCTGTGTAATGCTGGGGACAAGGGAGACCTGAGGACTCCCTGGGAGACCTTCCACAGAGGGTTAAGTCATTCACCATGCTGGCCCTGCACTATGGAGACCAGAAAGGTGTCACCAGGGAGAAGCGACCTACACCGTAGAAACGCAGCAGGAAAGAAGGTGTTAAATACTGGAGAAAAGGACCCCTAAGTGAGTTCCTAGTCAGTGAGCTTAGTCACTCACTGCCGGCCCTCAGTCCTAAGACGGGCTGTTAGAGGAAAAGAAATCACTATTTATACAACGAGCACATTAAAGACATTTGCATCGTTCAACCCCAGGAGAGGGTTGAATAACTCCTGTTTGCCCCTCAGTCTTTTCTGAGATGGAGAAGAAAAGCCCCTTACATGTGGAATTAGGGGAAGGAGAAAATTCCACAAATTTTAAATAGTGATATGGAATGATGGGAATTCAACAAAAAATATAACTTTCCCAGTAGAGTGAAAACACAGTAAATCATAGAAACAAGCACCGTGTAGGAGAGTCCAACTGTGGTTCTTGATCCACGCCACAAGCTTGAGACAGCAAGACCCATGGGTCCCCAGATCCCCCTGTGCAGGACTGTGAGCATTAGAAGCTGGCTGAATGTGTGCCTGCAGAGTTGACCCCTATACTCACAGGAATGACAATGAGCCCCCCTCAGCATGGGCTGGGGCTATGACCTGAACCTGAATAGGTACAGGGCAGACAGGGCAGGCCAGACCCATGTCCCCAAGGAAGAGGCTGCGGAGGGAGCGGACATGGGAGATGTGTGGGAGAGGCTGTGGGAGTTTCTTCTTTCCTTGCCAGATGATCTGCCCTGGGTAAGACCAGGAGCTAGCCCAGCCGAGCCAGATCCTGAAGACGTCATCATGAAAGACAACTGAAACGATCACGGGCGTGGGCCAGGTCCTAGGACATCCGGGAGAAAATGGAGAGCGGCAAGAAGCATAGCACTCCGGCGCTGTGATACGGTCCAATTGCCAAGGTGCATTTCTTGGCTGGGGTGGGGTGCGGGGAGGGAGGTGGTGGTTGTAGTGGTTTGTGTCTGAGTGTTGAGAGGGAGAGACTGGCTGGGAGAAACAATGGCACGAAGAAGGCCCAGAGAAAATCCATGCTGGAGGGCCGGAAGTGTGGAACAGTAAAGAGGAAAACAGTGTCCTTGTAACTGGCCGGACAGAGCCCACCGGTGGTCACAGCTTGGCTTGGGTCTTTGCTTAGGAGGAACTCACCAGGCTGGTTGTGGTGGTGGCAGGGATTGCAGTTTTCAGAAGGGAAGGGCAGAGATGGATGAGGCATCTCACCATGGCTCTGGATGTGACTTGCCTGTAGCTGTGACTTGCAGACTGCATGCAAGAGCCCCCGGGCGCGGGTGCCTAGACTGTACCTGACTGCGGCTTCTATTCTGGCTCTGCTACTTACCAGCTCTCTGACTGACCAAGTTATTGCACCTCTCTGTGCCTCAGGTTCTTTTTTTTTCTTCTTTCTTTCTTTCTTTCTTTCTTTCTTTCTTTCTTTCTTTCTTTCTTTCTTTCTTGTTTGTTTTTTGAGATAGGGATTCTCTATGTAACAGCCCTGGCTGTCCTGGAACTCACTCTTGTAGATCAGTCTGGCCTTGGACTCACAAAGATCCACCTGTCTCTTCCTCCCAAGTGCTGGGATTAAAGGGATGCACCACTACCACCACCTGCCCCCCACTTTAAAGAAAAATTTATTATTTGTTGTGTGTATGCACGGATGTCTGTGTCGGAGTATGTACCTGTGAGTGCAGTTGCCCATGGGGGCCAGAGAAGGGTGGCAGACTCCCTGGAGCTGCAGTTACAGGCACTCATGGGCCATCGACGTGGGTGCTGGCAACTGAACTACATCCCTCTGTAAAAGCTGTACTCACCCTTCATCACCGAACCATCTCTCCAGTCCTCTAGCCTCAGTTTTTTCAAATGTAAATCAGAACTAATAAAAAGCATCATCTTTCACTGGGTTGTTTAGAGGACTGAACATGCTGTTGTTTTGAGCACTGACTTCGAAACGTGTTAAATAAAATATATAGAAATATCTCCTTATAAATTGTTGGCGACGGAAGATCCAAGGGTCCCCAAAACCATACAGACTATTGCCATTGATCTCAATTGCCCACTAGAACTAGATGATAAGATCATATTGCAGAACACACCACCTGCTGTTGTTGCAGGGCATAGAGAAATCAAATCCAGTTAGTCCTCATCGTGCTAAAAGGTACTAAGTGCCCTGCAAGCAGCTGGGGGAGGAAGGCCGTTAATAGTCTCACCTAGCTGTGAACCCTGAGAGTTACACCACTAACCAGGAGCCCCATGGCTATGTGGGGGTAACTGGACTGTTGTGGAATATTAGTTAAAGATGAGTCACATTCTTTTATGCAGTGGAATATTTGTTTAATGACACAAAGAATTGTTGCATTCTTTTATGTTGCATTTGCTTAACTCTGCAAAGTTCTGTTACTTTGCCTGCTGAAAACACCTGATTGACTAATAAAGAGCTGAACAGTCAATAGCTAGGTAGAGGTATAGGCGGGGCTGCCAGGTAGAGAGAAAAAATAGAAGGAAAGAATGAGAAGAGGAGGAACGGAAGAAGGAAGAGAGGAGGATGCTAGGGGTCAGCCACCCAGCCAAACAGCTGGACAGGGAATAAGAAGAAAAGAAAAGATATAACGAAATAGAGAAAGGTAAAACCCAGAGGTGAAAGGTAGATGGCATGATTTAAGTTAAGAAAGGCTGGTTAGAAATAAACCAAGCTAAGGCTGGGCATTCGTAAGAAAGAATAAATCGCCATGTATTTATTTGGGAGCTGGGTGGTGGGCCCCTAAAAAAGCAAAGAATAAAAACAACCAACCACTTTCTTATTGGCTTTTAGGCCTTCTCCAGAAGAGGAATTCAAACCAGGTACTATAAACCTGGTCAAAAGCCCATGGCTAGGGAGGTCATAGGCCCTAGAGAGGAACCGACAACTATTGTTTTGCTAGATGAGTATAGTATCAAAGTGCCTTCTAAATATTTGCTTCTACCATAAATCAGTGCTATTCTCAGCCTTTGTCAGAGAAGTTTCTGTTTGCAATGGTGATGGGTAATATAGAGACTCAAATTGTCAAAGCACTGACAATAGGTGACTCTTGAGTGCTAACCAGGACATCTGTATCACCCTCTCCAAGGCTCTAAGGACATTACAGAAGAGGGGAGGAAAGGAGAGGAGAGGCCAAGGGTGGGAAGGAGTACCATGAAATCATCCCATCATGGGCAAGGGAGGGGCTAAAAGGCCCCACCCCTCCCCGAGGAGCCGTAGGCAGTTAATGGTTGCTGGGACAGAGAATTATGTTTCTCAGTGGTCTATCCACAGGTAAGTTGTTCTTGCTCAAGTAAATAATTCCCCACCCAGGCTCATGTGGGCAACCCTAATTAAATACAGTGGGTCACCAAAAACCCAAAACTGGATGGCAATACCAGAAAGAAAGGTTTAAAAGTAGGAGGGGACTTGCTGGGAACAAAAGGGGTTCAGTGAGAGGGAGAAGGGAATGAGATGACAATGGGGGTGCGGAGATATGACCAAAATATGTGTGTGTGTGTTTGTATATGAAACTCTAAAAGAATAAATAAGAAATGGTTATCATAGTCAAACATACACAACAAAATATAAAATAGTCATTAGGGTGCCCTGCAGGGACAGCAAGGTGCCCATGGGTGACAGAGAGCTTGAGAGTTTCCCCAACTAGGCAGAAGCACTCAGCAGAGAACCCCTGAACCCTGTCCTTGTTGGAGTGTGCCACCAGGGAGCCGGTCAGCCAGAGTTAATTCATGATCACATATAATTCATGATCAGGTATAAGTACCCAAGGAAATTTCATCAACTACTACAGCGGTGAGCCATGTAGCCGATGGACTGACAGACCTACCCTCAAGGCCATAGCCAGTAGTCACCAACGGGAACAGCTGAAGTCTTCAGGGACTGACTGTGAGTAAGAGCAATGGCCAGGGACTTTAGGAATTAGGAAGTCACTTCGGATTTGCTGGAATCTTTGGGTGTCACATCAGTTTAATTACAGTGTGTGTGTGTGTGTGTGTGTGTGTGTGTGTGTGTGTGCCTGTTCATGTGGCAGCCAGAGGTTGACTCCAAGTTTTTCCCTCAGTTGTACCCTACCTTCTGTTTTGAGACAGGCTCTTTCATGGAACACAAAGTTTGCCAATTTGACTAGACTGTCTGACCAGCAAGCCCCAGGATTCGCTTGTCTTTGCCTTCCAATGTTGTGATTCCAGGTGCACGCTGCTGTGGGAAGCCTTTCAAAACTATACCATTTTAATTAATTCTTTAAGGATTTCATAGGTGCACATAGTATATGTGTCCAGCTTTCTTACAGGGTTCCTGGGGATTGAACGCGTGTCCTCGTGCTTGCATGGCAAGCACTTCACCAACTGAGCTACCTTCCAGTCCCTCAGTAAACACTTTTCAAGTAACTGGGCATTCTGGCCCAGTGGGATGTACTAAGAGAATTGGCACAAACCTGTGCTCTCCAGGGACCCGCAGCTGAGTTGGAGGAAGAGATAACATCACCTGGAGAGAGAGAAAGAGACTAGCACCCATGCCGCCAGGCTCCGCAGCAATAGTCCGAGTTGTCTGACACCTCGTGCACACTTTACCACAGCCCCAGGATGATCGTAAAGGTTAAGAGAACTATTGAAGTAACGTGGCTGGTATGAAGTCCGAGCATTTGTCTGACGGAAAGACTTGTGCCCTGAGTCATCACACATATTGTGCCAACTGTGACCTGTGATTAAAAAAAAAAAAAGGCCAGGAACACTGTGTGTTTACACTCTCTCCTTCTGGGTCCTCCTGGACCCATAGAACTTGTACTTTGACCCATATTCCCCACTGGAAACCCTCAGCACAAGACCTGACCAGCTCATTACTATCCCCCAGGTCACACCTTGTCCACACCACGGACAGGCTCCATTCGTCCTCTTTAAAGATGGGCTCTGATCTCTCTGCTCCCCTTGTATCTCTCCTTCCTCTCTTTCCAGTCCTAGGGCCGTCACAGATGTTTCTGCAGTTTTTTCTGGACACTCTCCTCCACGCATGCATACCGGGAGACTTCATCCTTTCTGGAGGGCTAGCAGCGCCTGCCTCCACACATCCCTGGCATTGAGTCTACGTAGCTACCTCCCAGCTGCCCACCTTAAAACAACGATTCTTTATTCTAATTTTAAAAATTAAAATATAATTATATAATTTCTCCCTACCCTTTAAACTCCTCCCACATCATCCTCGGCTCCCTCTCAAATTCATGGCCTCTTTTTCTTTAATTATTGTTACACACACACATGCCTAAATACATAAATCCAACCTGTTCAGTCTATTTGGTGGTGCTTGAGTGTATATGATTTCAGGACTGGCCATTTCTCCCACTCTCCACGTTCCTTAGTTGTCTATAGCTCTTTGTCTGTGGGTGAAGCCCAGGAGATTTCCTCCATCTGTGTTAGCACATCTCCTGGTGTCCTTGTTCAGGTCTTGTTTAGGCAGCCATATTGTTGGGTGTCAAGGGTGAAGCTTCCCTTTCATTTCTAGGAGAGAGCTTCCTAGTAGATTCCCTGGTCCTCTAACTCTTAGAATCAATCTCTCTATCCAGTCTTCTTGAATGTTCCCTGAGCCTTCAGGGCAAGAGTTGTGTTGCAGGTTTATCAAGGCATGATCACGTGTTCTCCGCATTTTGACCAGTTGCAGTTTGCTGCAATGGTGTCTATCTGTTACAGAGATAAGTTTCTTTCTGAGACAAGAGAACTACAATTATCTGTGTGTATAAGAATAAATACTTAGAATTCAGCAGCCTATCTTTACTTGCATGTAGCTCAGACTGGGTAAACTCAACATGAATCCATAGAACACTGCTGACTTCCTCCCTGGCTGCTGGTCCTGCTGGGTCCCCTCTTCCAGAGATGAGCACGGCAAATGCTGTGTGCACAGGTCGAATCCTGGGACTCACCACTGGTCTGCTCACCACTGGCACACAAGTGCTGTCCCCTTGTAGTATTTCCTGAGTTTTTCTCCCTGCCCCTTGTGCAAGCCAAGCCTGCATCCCTGCTCCTGGAATCTTCTGCATACTTTGCCCCTTTTCCTCTCTCATCTGGCTGCCATAGAGGCCCATCGGAAATGCAAATCAGTTCCGAGCTCCTGCTACACAGAAGTCTTCAATAGTTATCCCTGGGTTCTGGGCATAAAGCATTCTTAGCACGCCACTCAGCTTTCCAGCCTGGTCCTCAGCCTCACCTATTCCTGCTGTGAATTGGGAGCCCTCTCCTGCCCATGCACAGCCCCTGTGCGCAGTCACTCTGACACGCTTCTCTCTACTCTCTCCACAGAGACGGAAAACACTTCCTGAAGTCAAGGGTTGGGAAGTCCAGCAGGCAGATCCTGGTGTTGCTGGTTTAAGGACATGGATGTGGAGAACCTGAATGTTGGTGTTAGGACATCCTTTCTCTTCTTTTCCCCACCAGAAGCTCAAATTTACCCCAGGGACGACTTGTGTGTGAAGCTCATATTTTTGCATACCTTTTCAGGGGCTTACTTTGTGGTCCAGCCAGTAAGATTTAAGGCAAAATCTCTTTCTCTCTCTCTCTCTCTCTCTCTCTCTCTCTCTCTCTCTCTCTCTGTGTGTGTGTGTGTGTGTGTGTGTGTGTGTGTGTGTGTGTGTGTGAAGTTTCTCTCTCTGCTTTGAGCCTGGCCCCTTCCTGTTTCCCATCTTCCACTTCTTTTCCCAAATAAAGAGAGAAGGCTGGAGGAGGAGCTAGAGGAGCTGGTGACCGAGCATAGTCATGGAAGTTACATACTAAGGAACCCTGAGGGAGTCAGGTCATGACCCTCTGACTACCTACCAGCAAAACTCATGCAACAGATCTAAAGGAAACTCCATTTCCCCAAATCTTGGCAGGTATACAAAAGTCAGCTACCCATTCCCCTTATAAACCTGCTGCTTTGGCTATGCTCCTTTTTTTGCTCCCCCACCCCACCTCTCCTACCCCGCTCTGGACTCTTCCAGATGCCTCTGGTTGTTCTCTCCTCAAATCTACAACAAAATCCTTCCCCCTAGCCATACCATGGAGTGGCCATGGCCATGTCATCAGCTGTACACAGACAAGTAAGTCTCACTGAAGTCACTGTAGTTGGCTCTCCAGGGCATTTAGTCAAACCCTACTGATAACATTTCTGAATACGCATTTCCTTTGGAGCTGACACACTGGCCCTGAAACCAGGCTGAGGGCAAAGTTAAAGGAGCAGGACAACATAAACACAGGAGAGGTGGATTCTCCCTAGGGGGAAGGCCACGTGCCCAGGAAGGCACTCTAACCACCAAGAGGCCCCCATGTGAAGGGAGATTGCTGTACTAGAGAGGTAACTTTATAAGTGCGTGGGTCTAGAGAGATAGCTCTCAATAAAACGTCTGCCTTGCAAGCAGGAGGACCCGAGTTCAATCCTGGGCAATCAAAGAAAATTTATAATCTCAGGGCTAGGGAGGCAGAGACAGGTGGACCCCTGGGGGTTTCTGCCCAGCCCCCTCCCACAACTCCAGGCCACTGAGTCCCCCTTTCAAAAACCAAGACGGATGATACTTGAGGAACAACACCTGTGGCTGTCCTTTGGCCTCTACACCCCCTCCACTCCCACACAAAAATGCTTCGTGGCTGGGGTTTGGCATCAGGCAAAGCTGGGTTCAGGTTCTATTGTGTCCTAGCTGTGTGGCCTTTGATCCCTTTCTGTTTGATTCCACTAGCATCCTTGCCTGTAAAGTCCAGAGGGTCGAAACACCTTTCACTTAGATCTAAGACTGGGGGTGGTCCATGAAATCTGCAGGGCACCAGACACAACCCACCGTGGGTGTGGCCACCTGCGCTCAGTGTCCCACTGAGTGTCACCTCGTCTCCCGGCAGCCCCTCTCTCTGCGGGTGAACAAAACAACCAGAAGCTGTCCACTGTCCAACGGCCTCTGCATATTGCTGTGTCCTTGGCCTGTAGGTACTTAGGGAGCAGTTCCCAGAGCGCCAGACCAGACAGGAATTGGAAAGGCATCCGGCAGGCACTGGGTAGAAACGAGGCAGTGTGCACCATCCTTCACCCTGCCTGTGTCCCCAGTATTGAGGGGCGTCTTTTCCTGGGCTGGGCTGCGCTGGAAGAGGTGGCTCTGCAGGGAACAATGGAATAGGGGGGCTGGAAAGATGCCTCCTCCGCCGAACTGCTTCAAGTGCTTTTGTTGGATCCTTTTTGGTTTTTCCCGGAAAATGATCACCTTCTTTCTCTAAGATTCCAGTCCAGGAGGGGGAAAAACCTTGTTCACTCAGCCTACAGAGGAGGTCAGTGCGGGGGCAATTCCGTCAGACCAGCGCTTCCCTTTGTCCCAACCCCCAGCACTTCAGACCAGACCCGCTGACACTCGACAAGCGCCTGCAGTTTACCTTGGCTCGGTTCCAGTGAGTTCGAGCCCAGCCCTGGGGCGGCCCCCACCTCTCCACCTTGTTACGCCTTCCCACCCTCCTCTGCAGCGCAAAGAGCAGTTTAAATATAAATCAGTCCTCAGCACAAACAGAGCTTGGGCGGCGAGTCTCAGAGCCATCACCGGAACCGAGGGCCCAGGTTTGCGGAGCGAGTGCAGACACGCAGAGCCCGGCTCTGGACAATCCCAGGAGCCGCGGAGACTCTTCCTCCAAGTGGAGACCCGCGCCCCTCGGGTCCCTTTCAACTCCCCACCCCTTCCTTAGTTCCGTGCCCACCCTCTATCCCACCAAGTCCCCAGGTCTCTCCACTGGCCTGCAGCCTCCTGTTTCTTCCATCTGCGGTGACCCCTTCCTCGGCGGCCCGCCATCTCCACGCGTGCCACCTCCCGGCCTGCGGGACCTCCTAGGCAGTTGGTGCTCACCAGGTCGAGTCCTAGAGACTCTGGGCTTCCGCAGCCGCGACGTCAGGGCTCAGGACACCTGCCCGGGGAAACGGCAGCGGCTGGGCGGGGGCTTGCAGCACCTCTGACACCCGAGGAAGAGAGGGAGGAGAGAGAGAGAGAGAGAGAGAGAGAGAGAGAGAGAGAGAGAGAGAGCGTTTCATCATCGCCGCCACTTATAAAAACTTCTGAGAGTTCACTCTCTTGCTCAGTCACCGCGTCGCGCTCCCCATCGCCTGGCTACCACCGCGGCAGCTCGAAGCGCCCAAGTCCCGCAGAACCTGTCCCCGGCCTGTCGCTACCCCCTGGGCCCGGCCAGGGGACTTCGCCTCCGTCACGATGGGGCTTCTGCCCAAACTCGGATCTCGCCAGGGCAGCGGCACCTCCTCTGTCCCAGCCAGACGCTGCTCCCGCTCGGTCTTCAGCAACATTAAGGTGAGTAGAGTTCGGGGGAGGGGAGGAACGGAACCAACCTAGGGCATGGATGAGTCCACTCCCTGACCTCTGAGTGCACCGGCCCTCTTCTCTGTGCCCGGTGCCACATCTTTGGGGCATGCCAAGGAGTATGAAGCAGCGACTGCAAGGCATTCGCTTGTTCTCTCTCTGTCCCCCCCCCCCCGCCCCGCCCCGTGTGTGTGATCGGGTGTATACCGCGCGTGTAAGCTCACAGGCTCTGCTGGGGATAATAACCAGAAGAATAGACGTGCATTCACACAGAGGGAGCTGTGCTGCTGTTCTTCCACAGAGAAAGAACACCTCCAGGGAAGTCTTTTGGGTCTCAGCTGTGGGCATGTTCTTCCTTAATGAGTGGATCCACAGGACTCCTGTGGGCAACAACAGGCTGTAGGCACGCTGATATGAGGCAAATCAGAGCGCACTCACGTTGTCCCGGTCGACAGAAGTCTGCACTCCTTGGCTGGGCTTCCTTACTTGCAGTTCTCTCGTACCAGCTTGCTACCTGGCTACAAAGCCTCCAGCAGTTTTGAGAAATCCCCAAACTCTTCTGGTTTGGAAATGGCCTCAAGTACACAGCAGGCACTCCAGGTTTATTAAGAAAGGTCCCAGGAGGTGCCAGTGGCCTAATAGAAAATTAGGGAAAGAAAAAAAAAACGGGGTGTTGGTAACTATTAGGGTGAGAATGCCTTCTTTGATAATGGTCAGAAGTGAGGTCCACTTTCTTACAGGTCTAGAAGGACCTAGAAAGGTTGGATCCTCACTCATAGTATTTAGGGGAGAGATTCCTGAAAAAGGCACCTCCTGGGAGCGCTAAAGGACCCTGTGGAAAGTAAGGAGCCACAGAACCTACCTACATCTAGGTACCTTGGGATCAGGCAAGAGTATGATGCTGAGAGATTATTTCCCACAATCCTACCTTAGATGCAACGAGCGCTCCAAGTATGGGGTGCCCAAACCTCACACGGAAGGATTGGGGCACTGTGTGCAGTTTATGTGTGTCTAAGAGAGGGAGACTGGGAGGTCAGAGTGGATGCCACCTGCAGGCTTTACCACAGGCTGTTACTGGTAGAACAGGGCTTCCTTGCGGCCAGCCCTGCCTTGATTCTTTTCTCCACCACAGTTTAAAAAGGTTGCATAGATTTCCCCTTGGAATATTAATAACATAGAAAGTGGGAGATAACTGTAAGCAATCCTCAGATCTCCTCCCCTTGAGCCAGACCTGGATGGGAACAACATGTATTGTTTTGTCTTTGCCAGTTTGGAGGGACTTGGGGAATTGTGGAGATTTTTTTTCATATTTTTAACTGAGGAATTAAGAGGAAAAGGCATGCGGCAGGGTTGGTGGTCTCTAAGGAATGAGACTGGGGCAGGACTGGCGAGGGAGGACTCTGCGTTTCCCTGAGAAGGGTAGGAGAGGTGGCTGTGCCAGGCTTCCTGACAGTGAGGGTGACAAGGATGAGTGGTAGAGTTTGGGAATAACCCTGCAGTTACCCCTAATTCCTAAAATAATTGGCTGGCAGCCTTTTCTTTGAAAAAAAATATAAAAAGAAGATTTAAAAAAAATAAAAAAACATGTTTCACATGCCCGAGATTTAAGTCAGAGACCTGGACCCAGGCCAGTTGGCCTCCCAAGGGAGTTAAGTGTTCTTATCTATCAGTTGAGAGTTTTTCTTGATTCTGTTAAAACATCTCCTTCCTTGATGGATAATGAGCAATGGAAGACAGGCAGTTAGGAGAGAGCCCGCCTTGGCATCCCTTTAAACTGAAGCCCGGTTACTCCAGGAGAACCTGGGCACACCTGGAATGGAGAATCCCGCCAGCTGAGCTTTTTCTTCTGGAGGAAGCTATGCCTGGGGCTTCGGAGATTTCTTCCTCTTAATGACAGGTTGGATGACTGTCCTACACCTTCCCGGTAGGGAAAAGGTGATACAAAAGACATGAGGACGGTGACAAGGGACATCCAGCGCAGACACTGGTTTTGCTAGAATCTTTGTCACTGGGATGAATGATCCAAGAGTCATGTTGTTGTAAACCCCATGTTCCACATGGTTCAGGATTGGGGGTGAAGTCTGAGGACAAGATCCATGGCCCATCCCAGCCACCCACTTACTGGAGTGAAACACGCAGGAAACATGGCTCACCTTTCTTGGGCCTCTGGGGTCCCTTCTGGAAAATGTGGGTGCCATGAACAGTTCCCACCCTCACAACTCAGTAAGAATTACGTGGGTAAGAGGAGAAAGGCTCTCCCCAGGGTGAGCGCCAAGTGAGATAAGTTTATAGACAAAGTCCATGAACAAGACTGTGCATTCCAGTGTTATCTAGGAGTTCTTGTTTCAATGTTAGCCCAGCATACATGAAGCCTTGGGTTCCAGCCTCAGCACCACATTGTGGACCCTGTGCAGGTTCAAGCCAGAGGGGATCCCAACGCTGAGAAGGGGAGTGGGCCCCACCTCTAGCCAAGATGCTATTTACAATTGATACTTGCCAGCAAAGGGAGAACCAGTGTTCTTCAATGGAGCATCACTGGGAATACCAGCCATACTTCTGAGCAGACTCTGTGTCCGGGAGTAGCTGGCCAAGACAAAGTGGACTCCACGATTTTTTGTTTGTTTATTTTTTGTGGGCTTTTTGTTTAGCTTGGGCATTTGTTTTGGTTAATTGGTTTTTGTTTGTTTTGATTTTTGTTTTTGAATTTGTGTGTGTGTGTGTTTTAAAGATAGAGAAACAGAAAGAATATAAAGTTGGGTGGGTAGGAAGGTGGGGAGGAACTGAGAGGGGTGCAGAGGAAACATGGTCAAAAGATATTGTACAAAAAATACAACATAGAAATAAATCTTTAATACTGTTTAAAAGTTAAATAAAAACAAAACACCTAATAAAAATAAGAAAAAACTGGGCATGGTGGTCCTGTAATCCCAGCGTTCAGGAGATAAAGGAAGGGGGATTAGAAACTCAAGGTCCTCATTGACTACATAGTGAGTCTAAGGCAGCCTGGGCTACATGAGACCTGTGTCCAAAATCCCACTTATTTCATGATGCACAGTTATTAATTAACAACTACAGTTAATATTAAACATAACATCCATAATAATATCAACTATTACTAGCTAACAGTAATTGAGTTTTATGAATGGACAGATTTTGAGAATTGTGTGCCCACATTCCATCTGTTTTACAATTCTATCAGGTGGATAGTATCAGTCTCATTGATGAGGAAATCAGGGCTTCACAGAACCAGGAAGGGCGGTAGGGAGAGAAACGAGGCAGGAGAAGCTGTAGAGCAGAAAATTGTTCTATCCAGCCCCTCATCAGCATTACGCCTTCCACTCCAGATCTGAAAGTGGCAACAACACAGCCATCAACTAATAGCATTTTCTCCAGGTCTGGGAGACATCCAGGAGGAGGTACAGTGGGGACCCAGACAGACACCCTCAATACCGATCAGCTCCTACTTCTTCACCCTTTATAATGCTCAGTGAAAGAGCCTTGCAACTCTTAGGGGAATGTTTGTATAGTGTGTGTGTGTGTGTGTGTGTGTGTGTGTGTGTGTGCGCGCGCGCATGCGCCCGCGCACAGGATGTGTGTGTATGTATACAAAAGTGGATATGTGCACAGATATATAGAGGTCAGAGAACAAACTACAGTATCATCCTCAGGACCACCTATCTCCCTTGATAAAGGGTCTTAACTATCCTGAAGCTCACTGCTTAGGTTTGATTGGCTGGATCCCCAGGGCACCTCTGGTCTCTACCTAGTATTAGGATCAAAAGCACCCTGATCTTGGCCAATGACGTTCTTACATAGGTGCTAAGTGTGGGACTGGGTTTCTCCCGCTTACAAGGCAAGGGGCTTATAGGTCGGGCTATGGTCTTAACCCTTGGGAAGCGTTTTGTTTCTGTTTATTCATTTTGTGGTGCTGTGGGCTGAATCCAGAGCCACTTACAAGAAAGCATTCTCCCACTGAGCTACCTTCCAAGCCCTTCCGGGTGAATTTTCAAAACTCCTCCTGCAGGAGGCATCTCCTGAGATCTTGTTTGCAAGATTCTCACGAAGCTTGGAGCCACTCAAACAAGGCTGTCAACTGCCTTAGTACAACCCCAGGACTCCAGATTAAAAGCAGGCTCCCTCAGAGATCTTGGGGTAGGACAACTCAGGGCAGACAGATCTCTAAAGTGAAATACCCTTTTGGAGCTAAGTCAAGGTTATCTTATAGGGGGAGCGGTCTGCTGGTGATGGCTGCCAAACTTGAGGAAAAGCAACACCTATTAGGGGTTGGAGGGGTACCCCAGTGGGAGAACAGTGGGAAGGGAGGATAAAAGGGCCAACCTTATGGCTTGTTTTGAGCAGACTGGGAGCACTAGCTGGGGAAACTATCTTGTTCTTGTCTAAGTCTGTAACTTCTGAGGCCTTTGACCCCCAAATGGTGAGGGGGCATCTTGAGCATTGCTTTTAGGTTTTCAGAATCTAGGACAGCATGCCAGCAATCTAGTCTATTCCCAGGAAAACACTCCCAAGGGACTCCCTGCCCCAAAGAACAGCAAAAGATAGGAAGATGCACCTACTTCCCTCCAGGGGGCGCATTTCTCTAGCATTCAAAGAAACGTTCCATTCTCAGAAGGCCATCTTGGCAAGTTTAGAAGGCAAGGGTAGGGAGAGGGAAGGATGGGGATTGGTGGCTTCCTGGGTAATAGGACACTGGGATCCTCCCTGGGATGATACTCAAAGCCCTCCATAGCTTTTCTCTTCCCAACACAGAACAAATGAGAACAAGTTACACCTCTGCAGTTAATCTTTCCTGACATTGTGACATGGCTATCCTTTCTCCATGCTAGGAGACCCAGCCTGGACTGTTGGGATGAAGGGCAGGATTCTCTTCACCTTCTCTTGTCTCACGGTGTCATCAGTTACGGTGTTTATAGGGGACGGCCAGAGGCCTCTGACCCCCACATGCCATTCTCCCTCTTCCCTCCCTTGCTTGCTTTATTCCACACCATGGTTTTAACCACATCCAGACAGTGTCTCTCTCTGTAGAGGCATTGGCTGTACATGCCTGCTATGTGCCCAGTCCCCAGGGTAGAGATGGAGAGGCACATGGAAGTCTCAGGCTAGGAAGATTCCTGGACCCTCAGTGAGACCCTGGGAGGCTGTTCTCTGCTATTCTTAGTCTATCCGGAGATTCTACCCTCGTTTTCTTAAGGAACGCTGCAAAGAAATGGTGTTGTGCGTTTGCCCTTGTTCGTGCCCACAGGACCTACGCAGGGAGTTGTCACCGGGGGACCAGGGCTCCCTCACAGTGGCCCCATGAGAAAGTCACCTCGTTGCTAGTACCAGACACGACGTAATTTGTTTGAGTCTTTTAGAAAACTGTTTTCAGTTT